GAAATTCCAACTAAATAGCTTATTTGAAAAGTAATGGAAATTGTTTTGTGCTCTGAAGAATGTGGAAATTGATGGAGAGGCATCAAAGGATTCTCTGCAATGCCTGAACAAAATACCTTTCATTTTTGGACTCACCAGTTTGATGTATTCCCCAGGCATAGTGACCTTGTTTAAATAACTTGTTCCATCAGCAATGAGTGGAGAGCATGTGCTACCACAGCCTTCCTGTGCTAGGGCTCTAGGATCCTGTCTGGCTCTGTTCTCTGTAGGCTGGTACAGGATGACTCCAATACGATTTCAGTCTGTTTAGGTGCTTTAGAGTAAGCAGGAGAGACTAGGAATGTTTGCTGCACCATAGCCTGCAGCTTTCTTGTTTGGCACTTGAAGTCTACCTCTGTCTATTGGCCCTGCATTGGTCCAGATGGTTTGTGGTTAAGGTGCTGAAGCTGCAAGCTTTGGGCTCTAGGCTGATCTTTCCTGGAAACCTGAACTACCGCATTTGTAGTTCTGCTCCACGGATCTCCACCGGCACAGAGTTGTTTCCGTCTGTGCCACCCAGCAAGCGGACTGAATCCTGGCATGTTCTTGGCCCAGGCTGTTCAGTATGGACAACGCAACAAAATTCCCACCATCTGCAGCGCTAACCAGCTGCCTTGCTGGAAGAGGGCCTGGGAGAGAAACAGCCTATATTTGCTGTTGCTGGAGGGCAAGGACATGATGGTGAGGTGGTATGGACCTTATGTGCTTGTTCTTGCTTGGGCTCCACAGTCACTTGCTGTAGCACTAACCTTTGTAGCATGTGAACAAGGACAGGGCACCCTGGCCTCTGAGATGCTGTAGATCAGGTGGCTGGCTTTCAGAAGGTGTTGGGACACAGAGGGCAAAAAGGAAAGGAAAAGGTTGATTCCTGCTGTGTTTGGCTGGCACTGGTGATCTCTGCAGGCTGGAGAGAAACAAGGTTCATGATAGCTATCACATGTCTTTCTAGTTTGCCGTTCCTCTTTGAGTTGATGTCTTCTGCCTAAGTAAGTTGTTAGACAAACCACTGCTGATGTGCTGGCATATCTGCTGCTTTTCTACTGCTCCTTAACGAGTTATCTCAGTCGTAGGCTCTGGATTTTGCTCCCTAAGAAGTGGAAGCTGCTAGGGACTGGGCTTTAAGGGCAGGGAGTAGTTTGGATGGTGAAGACTGGAGAATTTAGGGGTGCTAACTTGTGAGTCCAAGGCTAGGAAACTTCTGTCGGCAGTAAGTTTGCTTCCCACCATGGCTGCATGTGCTGGGGAGACAGGGAACTAGCCTGACATGTTGCCTGGTTCCTGAAACTGGCCCAGAGACACGTTCATCTGCTGAAAAACAGGGGAAAAGTTACTCGGTTGTGTTCAACGCTGTTATCAATTTCACTGCCCCCATGGCAGAACACTTAAGTCTTTTAGTTTGTGTGCCAAGTGTCCAGGTCTGTAGGGTTCTCCTCCCTTGGTGTCAGATTGTAAGTACTTCATTGTAGCAAGTAACGTAAGGTGGTGTTTCTGTAAACTGCTGAAACACCACTTTTATGCGCAGGGGTTGAACCTCTCAATTGAAACCTTCTCAGCTGACCTGTTCTTGGGGCAGGAGAACTCAACTGATTAATAAACCAGCAAAGCCAAACCAGTCTTTGCTGCAGTGACTTGCATGCATCTGTGCTCCTTTCCTGCCTACCAAGAAAAGCTAATCCTGTTTTTTTGTTGTTTTGGGATTTCTTTTGTTTGCTTGTTTTCTTCCTGTCATGGCTAGAAAGGGAAGTGTAGGGAGGAAAAGAGCTGTGACTCTGATTGCTGAGATGCTTGGGTACCACTGCAGTGAGGTGTGAAGGCATGGAGAAGTACTAGGAGCCAGGCACCTGGGTGGTGTTCACTGCTGTATGAGAAACTCTGAGAGCAGGAATCTAATCTCTCTGGTTTCTTCTGTTCCTCGAGCTCTTAGGTGTTTGATGCTGACATTTTTCACATAGAGACATCACCAGGCTGCCAACACCTCCCCTTCCCTGGCAAGCACAGGCAGCAGTGCAAGGTGCTCATTGAGGGACAGCCTTGCAGGCATGGGCAGAAACACGGAGGATGGTTAGGAGAGCTGCCAGAGCAGGATTAGAGCCGAGGGTACCTCTGCTTTGCTGTCTTCTCACCATGCTGAATGTCCCACAGAGCTAAAAGGGCTCATGTGGGCTTGTTGGCTGCTGGCTTAGTTCAGAGATCCTTGGTAGAGGCTACCACCTGTTGCCTATCTCGGCTGCCATGGGCCAAATGCTGTGGCCTCCGTGGCTGTATGGAGGCCCAGTGCAGAGCCCTGGAACTGGTTCTCTCCTGTCAGCTGTTTTTGGAGCTGCGGTGTCACCCTGCCAGGTCTGTGCTGAACTGTGTGGCCCTTGCACAGCTCCAGTTAGTACTGCCTGTCCTCCCAGTTTCCTCCCCTGAACTGCAACGTGCCCAGGGCAGAGCTGGCTAGCAGTGAGCCACTAGGGCCACAGTAATGGGTACCAGTCCACAGGTACCCTGTGAAGCTAAATGAAGCAGCAGCATGTGGAAAGGAGGAGAGAGTGGTCTGAGCTGCTGGCGCTGCCCTCTGCCCAGGGCCCTCTGAGACCACTCATCTCCTGTGAGCGGCTCCCTGCTCCTGCCGTAGCAGCTGGCTGAGGACTGTGCAGGTTGGGCAGTCTGGCTCCTTGTGCGTCTCACAAGCAGTGCAAGCATGACTCCTGTGCCAAAGTTTCTACGTGTCTGGCAGTAGAGTTGGGTAATGGGAACTGGGGAGGGAAGTGAGCTGCAAGGACAGCTCATGCTGGCCTTGCTGGGTCATCCAGGCAGCCAGTCCCATGCCCAACTTCTCCCCATCTCTTGCTGAGGAGAGCAGCCAACTAACTCCTCCTTTTACCTCTGATGAAAGTGTTAGAACACTTGGCCACACTTACCACTCATAGGGGTCAGGAAGGCTGCACAGAGGCCTTGAGAAGGGCTGTGTGCATGTCCACCTGTCCTGCTGGCTTTGCAGAATGGCAGACGGAAGGGATCTGTGTGCTTGAAGGGGTAGCAGAGTGCCAGAGCTCAGTGATGCTCGGCCCTGTCACACTCCGTGGTGGAGCTGAGGACCTGTCTGCTCCAGCCAAGTCCTGCAGCTCTCGCTGCCACTATTCAGACTGCAAATGCTTCAACCTCCTGACCTGCCTACAGGTGCAGAGATGCTGCTGGGCTGGTTTACAAGTAACTCTCCAAGGGTTAATGTATTGTGAGAAGGTTGCAAAGGGCTGAAGCCTGGAATCCCCTCGATCCCTTGCCTGGAGAAACACAAAGTCCAATAAGCCAGCACCCCTGGATTCATGTTGGGGGGGATTAATTCATGCACTTGATGTTAAAGCTTGTCCGAGAGGTTTGCACGGGGGGGCCATCGCTAGGGCTGGATGGCCTCTCTAAATGGTTGCTAGGGCCCTGGCATCAAGGGCCAATGTAGCTGCCCACAGCCACGGTCACGGAGGGAATTACACAGCCACAAAGAAATTGTTATTCTACATAATCTGCTCTTTGGAGAGTGACTGTGGGGAAACAGGCTGGCCCCAGCATGCCGCCAGCTCTGTGATCATAGAAGCGTGCTGGCTGCAAAGATCGGCCAGGGCTCGCCTTCTGATCTGGGGACACCAGGGCTCGAGGCGCTAATCTGCTTTATCAGCGATTTCTCTCTCCTGACACAAAGGTGTTTACTTGTTTTAACATCTCCCAGGACTCTATTTCTCCTTTTGTGTGGTCTTTATCCCCCGACGAGGGCTTTAGCCCAGATTACAGACAGAATTAAGGCATTTGGCAATGTGCCTCAGAACTGTGTGATGCTGGATCAAGGACCAGAAAGTAACAAAATAAGGGGGGGGGGGGCTGGAAGTGACCCCACTGCGGGGTCCATGCTGTCGGCTTTCAGGACCGCTTCATTGTCCAGAGAACCAAGAGCCTGTCGAAGAGGGCGGCCGTGCAGCAGGGTTTGAAAAGCAGGTGCTTCAAGGTTTATTGTGCCCAGGGTTTTTGATTTAGAGGGTGTGAGGTGGAGGAAGAAAAAGAGAGTTTGTAATAGGTGGCCACCTGAAGCAGCTGGGCAGATTGTCCCCTCCGTTCCTGTGAGAATGCTGTGGCTGGGTATCGCTGGCTGCTGGGGCAGGTGGAGTGATGCTGGAGATGGGCTGTCCCCTGTGCTTGGTGCATACTTTTCTATGGCCTGGGGAAGGGACTCCAACTCCTTCTCCCAGCCTGCCTGGGTGGCCTGGCAGAGAGGGCCCTTTCACAGTGGGCTCACATTGGGCACTGTCTGGCCGCTGACTCTGCGTATACAACAAGCGTAGTGATATGGCCACAGAGTATCTGTCTTAGAGCTTTGTGGAGATGTTGCTTTTGCTCTTTCACGGTAGGCCAGGAATGAGGGGAGGGGGGGGGGGAAAAAAAAGCAATCTCCAAAGTGGAACTGGAGGAGGTTGGGGAGAGCAGCCATGGTGGCCTGGAGCAGGAGAGTCTACTTTGCCTATAGATCTGAGCAGGGTGTCAAAGATATGTCAGGAAATGCCCCAGAGGGAACTATGCTGAAGGACAGAGTCAGGGATGGGATGGGGTTGATCAGATAAATAGTTATTGCAGGTTATCTGGAGTTTGACTAAGTTGGGAATCATCTCCTGTGAAAACAGAGACCCATCATTCAGTGTATTGGTCACTTGTGCCAAGGAAGGCAATCCCATTCTGCTGGGGGTCACCTGTGCCTGTCCCTTGGCTCTTCTCACATCTTTGCTTCTCCTGTTGGTCACCCTCCATGACAGTTAGTGGCCCAATCAGCAGCAGAAGTTAGGGAAGGGAGGGCAAAGCCGTACAGGCTTTTGTGCTCTGTTAAATCACAGAAAGGAGATCTAGAGACTCTTGTGACACCATCTCTGCTCTGGCCTGCTGCAACAGAAGGACTCTGTGATCTGAATGACTTCCCCTATTGTGTTTCATTGCAGCGGTCATCTGTTGACCTGCTTAGGAACTGATTTCCACCGTGGAGCTGGAGTCCTTGATGTCTTCTACGAAACACCATCCCTTCTCCTTTCATGTGGATATGACACCTACATCCGCTACTGGGACATACGGACCAGCACCAGGTGAGCCAGTCCTGCTGGCACGGAGGTTGCAGAGGCTCTGGGGCTGGAGCGATGCTCCTTGTGCCATGGCCGGGGTCTCGCCTGCAGCTGAATTGGTTCCTTTGGGCACACTGGGCCTCAGTTCCAGTCCAGGCTCTGAGTGGTAGACTCAGCCATACACTGGTTTGTGTTGCCCTTGCAGGAAGTGCGTCCAGGAGTGGGAAGAGCCCCACGACAGTGCCCTGTACTGCATAAGGAGTGATGGGAACCATATGATTGCCAGCGGCTCTTCCTACTATGGCGTGGTGCGCCTCTGGGATAAGCGGCAGACTCGGTGCCTGCAGGTGAGGGCTGGCTGGAGGATGGGCAGCAGCAGGTTTCTGGGTTATGCTCTGGCAGCCGGGTGTCTTTCTCTTTGGACAATGAAGCATAAAGGCTGCTGGGCTGTCTTTGGGGTGAGCCTGCCATAGAGACGCCAGTCTATATGCAAGGGAAAATCTGCTTTGCATCTGAGCCTTTGGGCCTGTAATGTGCAACACTGAATGGGGTCTCATGGCTGAGCTGTTCTTGGAAAAGTTGATTCTCCTGTTTTCTTGCAGAGCTTTCACCTGTCTTCGCCCACCAGCAGCCCTGTGTACTGCCTCCGCTTCAGTACTACCCATCTGTATGCTGCCCTGGCATCAGCCCTGCACGTCCTAGACTTCACAGCCCTATGAGGAGCACCATGGCTGCTTCTGGTCACCCCAACTCAGCAGAGTTGACACTTGGCTCAGGGAACTGCAGGGCAGGAGAGGTGAGAGTGGCCCCTAACACTTCTCAAGGGACTTTTGCCTGCCAGAAAGCTATGTTCAAGAGTGCACAAAGGGCCAGACTTTCTCCACCTTACCTGCTCTTTAGTGGAAAATAAAGGCCAATTGTCCTTTACCCTTTTTATTTTGTACAAGTCAGGGGTGTTTTTTTTTTTTAACTATGTTTTTTTCTTTCTGTGGATACATTTGAGGGGCAGGTTGAGCTGGGATGCCCCATCAGCTGTGTGTGCTGGTCAGTTCGAGATCAGCCAAGCTCTGAGCCATGTGAAGCAAATCTAGGCTGTGTTGGGGGTACAGTGTTTTGGTGGAAGGGGAGGTGCCTGGAGCAGGGCCTACCTTTCACCTGTGCTTGCTCTCCTGACAGCTGCTTGTGTTGTCCTTCAAAGCCAAGAGCAAGAACTAAGCTAAAAGGCAGAGCCAGGCCTGCTTTCAGCATATGCCTCCCCAAGCTGGCTATCAGGTCGAGCTATGCATTTGGCAGGGCTGAACAGTCCCATTTTGCTAAATAAAACACTGAAGGGAAACAGAACAGGCTGTATGTTTTGTTTCAAACTCCAGAGGGGCTGTGGGGGTGCCAGCTGACTGCAGGGGCTTGGATGGGCAGAGGAGGTTGAGCCTGTTTTCAGATACTGTCTGCGTGTTTCTGATAGATCTGTGACTAGACCCTGTGACACTGCTGTGTTGAAGGCAGATCCTCGGATCTTGGACCTCATATTGCTTATTCAAACAAGAAACCAAATGCAGGATCTCCAGTTCACTGTAAATCAGCCCCTCTTCAGAGCTCGGTAGCCGAGCTCATCTCGTGCCTGCCCTTATTTGAAAGACCTGAGCCCTTGCTGCCTGAATACTGAAGCAGCACATTAGACTATTGCAGACCCCAAGGAACTGATGCGGTTTACTGGGATCCTGAAGGCACATAAAAGGGAGCTCTGCTCCTTTCTGCATCAGCCTTCTGCACCTTACCAGAGCTAGGTCTCATGGAGCACAGCCTTCAATGTGCTCTGTGCTCCGTGGATGTTGGTGGATGAATGCAGCAGTGTCTGGGGCCTGGCCCTCCTTGGGGGAGGGGATGCATCACCTCTACTGGGCTGAATTTGAGTATCCCAGACATGGAAAAGAGAGTCTTTGTATTACAAACTGTGAGCGCTGCCAGGGCAAAGCACCTGCCATGCTGCTTTTTTAGGACTCGATAGGCTGGTTCCACTGTCAAGAGGCAGCTCTTCCCCTTGTGATCCACACAAATTGGAAGAGGGAGGTTTGCTGGAGCCCTCATCTTAGCAGGGATGGATAAGAACCAGCCAGCTCCTTCACCTGCGTGAAGGCAGCCCTCCATTCCCAGCGGCTGTGAGACAGGAAAGTAATTCAAAAGTGTGGTTTTGCCACAGAATCACATCCTCACAAGGATCTCTTTCCAACAGAGCTCCCTGTCACAGTTTCTGACGCAGCTCTGTTGGCAGGTCATACCTGCTTGCTGCCAGCTCTCTTGTAGTTGCTGTGGTGCACCTTATTCTCCTGGAGGGTGAGTGGCAGATGTGATGTTTAAGTGCCCAACGTATGGATGTCTTGCTGTAAAAAGATGCCATTGTTGGAGCAATCTTCTATCAAATCAAAGCTATATGTCCTGAAGACTGCTGGCCCAAGATAATGATTCTGGGGGAATCACTTGGCTATTGGTATCACTGAGTATAAGACAGATGACCAGAGATGGTACAGGTCTGTAGCGGGGGAACTGTTTATTCTCAGGTTCTGGTGCATTGCAGGTTCTCTAATGAAAGCAGGAGGGGAGAGGGGATGGAGATATCAATGTCTTTGGCAGAGTCCCCAGGGAGAGGCTGTGAAGGAAGTGAAGTAGACATGGAGTAGGAGGAGAGGTTCTTTGCTGGCAAGGCCCAGACTAGGAGTGAGCTGCTGTACGTCAGCCAAGCAGATGAACGGTGCCCCTGGTGTGAGAGTCTCTTCCTGTGGCAGCCCTGCTTGCCAACACTGCTGCTTGCCAGTCCTGACATCCTAGTGGCACCTATTCCATTCTGCAGCCCATGTTGGTGGGTCCTGCACTCTTGTAGCTGCTTTTAAGTTCCCTCTAGCTGAAGTCTAGAGCTGAGCTGTAGCCACATGGGGGTGTCGGCACTGCTGGGTAGAAGGCTGTGCCATCCAGCCTTTGGTGGCATTGGGGTATGGGAAGCTGCCTGAGCAAGTGGGGCTGGTGTACTGGCTGTGCTGAGCTCTCATAGTGGATGGTGCCTCCATCCTCTTGGGACAACTGTGCAGATGGGAGCTGGAGGCACCCAGTCATCCCTCACTGCTGGGTGTGACAGACGTGCCACATGGATTCTGAGGAGCTTTTGTGATTTGAAAGCAGTCCTTGTCAGGTGAGCTGTGCTGGGAGCCCATGACCTGCTCACTTAAGAATAGGGGTATTTAGGCAGGAGCTTTTCAGATATGAACCATGAATGAAAAGACGTGCATAAATCTGTAGGGATGGCTGGTGTGGACTGGATACAGTAGCAAGTTGGAGGGTGTGTTGATAAAGCAGCACTACCAGGGGCATGTTCTCTCCAGGCTGACTCCACGCTGAGATTTGCAACAGGCCACGCTTGTGCCCAGCCACGGAAAGGGTGGGCTGCTGCTACTCCTAAGCTGGCTGGACAGCCCCCTTGCTACCTTTCTCTGTGTCATGCAAGTGAGGAGAGCTGCATTTCAGTTCCTGTACTCTGTGCAGCAGCCCCGCATTCTGCATGTTGCATTGCAAACGGCTAGTGGTAAGGAAGCAGCTGGGTATCTTGCCCTATTTCACAGGCTGTTCCCTGATCAGCTCAAAGCTCTGATATTGTTGCAGAGATTACCAGGCTCACCGTGGCATCCTCCTAAGTGCACAGACAAGCACCCTGGGCAACAGCGCAGGAGAGAGCTGCTTCTAAGCACATCTCAGGCAGGTAATGGGTGTCAGGAGGGAGTCTGAGTTTCTGCAATGTTACTGCCTTCAGTGATGGTGGCAGAGGGAATTCTCATGGGGAACTACCCAGCTTTCATGCTGCTTCTGCTCACTGAGGATGGGGAAAGGGCTTCTGGCTGAGGCTGTAGTGCAGTTCCTTTTCTTGTTGTAGCTTTCCACAACCAATAGAAGGATCATAAATGTCTGTAAACCAGCAGACCAGACTGGAATGAGATTGCCCTGCCATTTCCCACAGCCTGCAAAGATTCCTCAAACTGGCTCTGTTAACAGGACTAATTTTTATTAGCAAAAGTAGAATAAATACCATGAAGCTGTGCCAGAGAGCTGCCCCCCACCCCAGCCTCTCAATAGCTGCTGCCTACTGGGTCTTACACTCGCCGTCGTCATCGTTTGCTGCCTTTATCTTCTTCAGCTCCTTCTGCAGCTCCTCTTCTGCAGCCAGGATCTCCTTTGGCTTCTGGTACTATAGGACAGAAAGAGATGCTCTCAGCCCTCCTGTTAGCCCTCTCATCCAAGCAGCCTAACTGAGGCCAGGCCACAAGCAACAGTATGGTTTTTAGCGCTGCTCTTTCTGGGTGGTACCAGCCCAGCTGGGGCTTTCCTGCGAGGGGAAGCCTTTCTGTTATCGGCTGCTTCCGATGCCTGTTTGGAGAGGTGGTGCTCTCAGATCAGGGACATTTGCCAGGATCTTTTCTGCAGCTTTTACAGTGCAAAATTTCCCAATTGAGTATGAAGTCCTGGCCTGCAACACCTCAGGAATATCCTGGTAAGCTACGTTGTGCAGATCCCTGGTGTGCTTGTTTGCTGGTTGTATGCACACATATACATGTTGTATGTACACGTATACACATATATATGTGTATATGCACACACACACACATATACGTACACATGCATTTTAAAAAAGGCAGATAGAAGTGAGAGCTGCAGTTTGTCTCTTCTCCCCTCAGAGTCCCCTCACTCAGATGCAGTTTAGCGGCGGATGCAGGTGCCTTTTGGCAAGGGTTTGGCCTGTAGCAGACAGGAGCTCAGAAGGGCTCAAGGTCCTCTTCTTGGCCTGTTTCCTCTGCATGTGCGCCCCCAGCTCTGCTGCACAGCTTCCCTCAGAGGGATGCTCTCTTTGTAGCTGGCTCCTACGTTTGAGAAGACAAGTAGCAGCTGCTGAAAAGCATCTGCCTGTCTCTGGATGCTCCTTCCAACAGGTAAGTCCCTATTTTGCTACTCTCTAACTTCTACCTTGTGCACCTTCTCTGGCATAAAGCAGCAGGGATTTTAACGCTGAGAAACAGAGGCTCTAAAGGTAGCAGTCCCTTGGACTCTAACACTCATGCACAGAGCATGAAAGAGTCTGCTTTGAGAAAAGAGAAACTTGTTGCTGCTGAGAGGGGAAGCTTGTCCAGGCCTGGGGGATGGGACACATGGAAAATGGGGCATTACAGATGCTTTTCCACCTGCAAGTCACCTTGAGCAGCAGCTGGGGCCCCTCCTGGGGCCTGGGCTGTCCTGTCCAGTGTCAGCATGCCCGGTGTAACCTGAAACTCTCATTGACTGTGTGACAGAGAAGGGGGCTCATCAGTGACCCTCAGCAGATCTCCCTGCTCTACCTCACTTCCCCACATGTAAGAATTTAACTTCTTTGTGGACATGAAGAGAAGGGCAAAGTTCTATTCCATGTAGCCAAAATCTTACCGTGATGATCAGGGTGTTGTTGGCATGGGTGAAGCTCAGGGCAGCTGCATCCAAGGGGAGCTGGTATCTGTCTAGGTCAGGAATAGGGAACTTTTTGTAGTACCTGCATATAAGAGAGGAGAGAGACAAACGAGAAAGGTTTCCCCTGCTAGCAGTGCTGGCCTATGCAACACTGCTTTGAAAGAGGTAGTCTCGCATCTCAGCCTTCATTTCATGCAAGCAGAGTACTGGGGTCTGCAATAAGTAGGCAAGCTCCCAGGATGGTAGCTGGGAGCAATGGACTCCTCAGGGTTGGCAGGAGGACCCTGTGCCATGCTGTGTGCAGGCTGCTGAGAGCACTGGAAACAAACCTCCAAACTGGAAATCGGAGCTTGCAAAGTTCTGAAGGACCTTGGTTTCTGGGAGCAGGCGTGGTCCCTCCAGCCTGCCTTCAAGCAGTGCCAGGCAGGCATAGCTAGGGACAGAGTACTCAGCCATACTGGAAGGCATCCCTTGTCTTTGTCCTTGCTCACATCCTCTCATCCCCCATAAGTACCAGCTCCCATTAGCTCCTGCCAAAACAGCTGTCAAAGCCCTTGTGCCCTGTGACTGTTACTTTCCTGAGCGATGCATGGTTTTGTGTTGCAGTCCTTCCTAAACTGATCCTTTGGCCCCTTGCTTGCTCCTACTATGCTTCCTGGATCACCTCCTGATTTGGTGCCACCACGGTGCTCTGGCACACCCCTGGGCATGGAGCTCCAGGAGTGGCTGCCCCCAGTCACCTGAGCCAGTGCTCGGCAGCATTTCCATACACTATCCTTGCTGGCTGTCCTGTTGCTCTGAGCTCTCCAGCCAGTTCTCCTGGCTGCTCTTTCTCTGGTCTCTTATCTCAATTTCCTGATCACCTC